GGGCCAATCTACTCCACTCAACTTGGACCGTCCTTCAAGAAGTGGGCATCCCAGTATTTTCAGGATCAAAATTGTGTCAAGTATCCTTTCGTTCGGCAAGGAACCCAACTCGGGGCAATTCTCGATTTCCAGACGCTCAAGAGAGGTGAGGTTTTGAAGCCCCTCAGAGAGAGACTCAAACTTAGGGCAATTGCTGATTTCCAGACGCTCAAGAGAGGTCAGGTTTTGGAGCCCCTTAGAGAGAGACTTAAATTTAGGGCAATCGCTGATTTCCAGATGCTCAAGAGAGGTCAAGTTTTGGGAGCCCCTCAGAGAGAGACTCAAAATTTAGGGCAATTGTTGATTAGCAGACGCTCAAGAGAGGTCAAGTTTCGGAGCCCCTTAGAGAGAGACTTTAGATTCCAGAATTGAAAAATACCAAGGGATTTTAGAGTAGCAGGAAGAAAACACGACTCCGGAAAGGAAAGTAGCTCTGGATATACATTACCCATGGTGAAAAAACTAAGAGAGGAGAGTCTTTGCAGGCCCCACTCTGATAGAGGCTTTAGTTCTCCGTAATTGCAGATACATAGCTCTTCTAGGTTGGGGGGCAAATTCTGGTGAGGAAAGGACTCAAGGCTTTTACAATTACGTATAATGAGTGATTTAAGGAATGTGAAGCTTTGACTCTGGCTAGGAAAGTAAAAGGGATTCTCAAACCCATCAATTTCAATAGTTACTAAGTTGGGAGTGAGCAAACCACCCCCTGAGAGCGAGTAGGGGATTTGATATTTCAACCGGCATCTAAATTCCTGCCTGTATAATTCAAAACTCCCCAAATTGGGCCAATTACTGATTCCAAAGCTTCCTGACATGATGCTCTGTTCGACAGTCTCTTTAACACACTCCAAATTCCCGCAATTCTCAATGTGAACTGACTTAAGCGTGGAGAGAAGAGTGTCTATTGGTAAAGAACTTAGAGAGGAGCAATTATTGAGGGTCAAGTCTTCAAGACGAGGGATGCGGTTAGGGATGGACTCCAGAGAATGACAAAATTTAACAGCAAGACGACTAATCGTGGGCGGGAGACTGTTCTCTGGAAAAGAGACAAACTTCGGGCACCAAAAGATATACAACTCCTCGAAGACGTAAGGCTTTTCAGGTCATCAGGCAATCTCTCCAGATTTTCACAAAAACTTACTGACAAACCGGAAAGGTTTTTTGTGCGAGCCCATCTGCCACGCAAAGCACATCCTACAATTCTAAGACATTGAAGTGACACCAACACATTCATGAACTCCTTCGGCAGATGAGTTAGACCCGACATATTCTCAATTTTCAATGTGGTTAATGAGGGTAATTCGATAAAACTTTTCAACACAGCCTCATCACAATTTTTTATCTCTAACTCGCAAAGAGAGAGAAGTCTTAAAAGTGGAACACTCACCAGTTTAGGACAATTGCATATAATAAGCTCACGAAGGCGAGGAAAAAGTCCTCTAAAGTCAACACCATTCGAACAAGACCATTCCTCCCATTTTGGCATCTCGCCAAACGACAGAATCTCGAGTGATGGAAATGGAATCTCCAAAGTGTTACCCCCACAGTTGAACTCTGCACCCACGCTTCTTACAGAATCCATTTCTTCTATGTACAGTTCTTTGAGGAAGGGTAGCTGGCCAAGTGGTGGTAAAAACTTGCATTTTGTACAACCTCGAAGACTAATATACACTGTTTTAGAGAATGATGGATCCCCAATCCAACTAGGAATGTGATGCCCCTGTAGAACTCAATTTTAAGACTTTTTAGTTTTCTATGCGGCCGTAGCATTTCAAGTACACTAACTTGCAGCCCTTCATTTTGAGAATTTTCACTGTCACTGTTCCATTTAAATTCCAACTCATTAATATCCTGCTTACAACTTAAATTTGTCTCCTCTGCATCCTGCACGTCCATAACATTTTCTAACCCTACAATAGAAAGCATCCCTCTCAGAAGCAATAGGTTGTTCAAATCTCCGAGTCCAAATCCACTATTTTTGCCAATAAGAATCTTTGGTAATGTTTGCAAACATTTTAATCTACCAATCCCTGAGGACATCTCTTCTAATTTTGGAGTATCTCGAATGTCAAGATGGCGCAAGTTCACCAAATTTTCTATGTTGGAGGGTAACTTACAAAGGGCGAGGCAATCTTTTAATAATAATGTTTGTAAATTGTAGAGAGTACTCACTGATTCAGGCAACCTTGTAATCAATGTCTGAGATAAATTCAGGTACCGAAGATGTTTCAAATCCCCCGTCGAGTTGGGTAACTCATTTATTTTGTATCCACACAAAGATAAGACTCTTAAGCACCGCAATTTTGGTAGTAGGTTGACCAAAATATTATTGTTTAAATAGAAGCCTTGCCAACTAGATGACTTATAAATTGGCAGAGGTAAGAAAGTCCGCAAACCCTGAAGTTCATGAAATGCCTTAAATCTTTTATAGACCTCATATTTGTGGCGAATGAATGACGAGTGGCGAGCTTTTTCAGAAATCTTACACCGTTCATTGCCCTTCATATTATCATCCAACCTAAAACATGTTTCTCCAGCAACATATTGAGCTAGATCATTCAAAAGGTCATGCATCACAAATTTTGATTCCGTACCACCTGAACGTTGGAAGAAGGACCTTGATAATAGTTCAATGAAACAGTCGCCACCTAACACTTCCATTTCTTCTGATTGTTGTAGAAATCCTTCCGCCATCCATAACAAAACTAGCTCATCCTTGTCAAATACATAGTCTTTCGGAAATATAGCACAATATGCAAACAATTGCTTCAAGTGAGACGGGAGATGATGATAGCTTAATCTCAGAGCTGGAACGATGCCACTCTTGTGCTCGGATAACTCCCAGATTTTGCTATTCAGTACAGCTTTCCACTCATCTGGGCTATGTATATTACGCAGAAGGCCTCCTAGTGTCTTCGTTGCCAAAGGCAAACATCCACACTTTTTGACTATATCCTTGCCAATTGCTTCCAAATTTGGATGGTCATCAAAATTTTTTGTACACAACGCATGTTGAGCCAACAAAGACAAACAATCGTCTTCTGCCAAAACATTCAGAGGGTAAGAAGGAACAGAACCCATGCAACGTGCAACACCTTCATTTCGAGTCGTAACAATAATTTTACTTCCAGGTAGCCCAACTAGAAAAGGAGCACGAAGGCGATCCCAATCTTCGTATTTCTCGTTCCAAACATCATCCAAAACAATAAGAAATTTTCTTCGAGAAAGTTTCTCTTTGAGACTCACTTGCAACATGTTGAGGTCGTTGAAGTCACACCTTTCATTGGTCACTGCCTGACAAATAATCTTGGTTATCATGAAGACATCGAACTCTTCAGAAACACACACCCATGCTTTCGTATCAAAGAAATCCTTAACCTTCTCATCATTGTAGACAAGTTGAGCAAGAGTGGTCTTGCCCACACCACCCATACCACCTATTGGAATGACGCATGCTTCATCATTACTTGCTTCATCCTTGAGCAACAATTCAAGTATTTCTTGTTTTGCCTTTTCTCGACCGTAAACACGGGGCTCATCGACCAAGGAAGTTGTTGGCAACCTCTCCGTTCCTGACCTTGCTTCTCGAGTAACTCTCAAATCCAGATCATCTTTAAGCTTTACAATATCTTGTAATCTAGAAGTGATCTTCTCAATCTTGGGACCCATCTTTATTTTGAGCGTAACTGATCTAGGGAAATTAGTACAACAAGTAGGGATGAATTTCCGTACCTTATTTGTGGTAGCTGCTTCAGGCTTGGATTTCAATTCATGTGCCAAAGCTTCTGTGGCAATTTCGTCCAGTAGGTCATCCAAATCGTAAGCCAAATCATTGAAACGATTCAGCCACAATTTCACAGCTTTCTCCGTTATTTGCTTAGCCTCTGCATCGCTGAGCACTGCTCGAATTGTCATTAACACTTCGCTCCATTTCTCCAATTGGGTATGAATTCCCTCGCTGCGAGCAAAGTTCAAAAACTCGCGAGAGGTCAATCGCTCAAACAACACAGTTATAAACGCACCCAAAAACACTTCTACCAAAGCCATTGCTTTCGGTTTTGGAGTTGGAAGGAATGTTTTCTGTAAAAAGAAACAGCAGACACAATCGAAGATCTGAGAAAAGTGGGTTTGGTGTTCACGAGGGAGAGAGAGAGAGAGAGAGAGGGCAATGAACAGGGAATTGCTTTGTATTTTCGTGTGTTGAACCAAATGGCCAAAGTGGGTGGAGAACAAGAGGAAGTGGTGGTGATCCCAGAGCATCCACCGGCTTAATTTGTCAAGTTTCGTCTACCAACGGCGAATTTTATTTTGTGCCCAAAAGGTTTCACAATTCTCATTCTGTACTTTTAGGCGCAAGTATTAGACTGGTATAAAGAGGTGCTATTAAAAAAATAGTACGTGAAATCTATCTTATACGTTGTTTATTTGATATTTTATAGTTAGTACTATTTTTCGGATTATAATATCGACCCGTTATGAACAGTAGTCATAATGTCTTATAGAAGGTTTTAATGAATACCACCTAGGGGTGATATTATATTATTGGTATAGGTATTATAAACTAAAAAGACCAAAATGCCCTCCGATACAATTCTCATATAAAAGTCTAGTCGTAATTTTTAATTTTTTAAAGGTTAAAATTATCTTTTATATTGGTTAGCCTGTTAACTTTTTTAAGTAGGTATTACACAGATAATATTTGTGATAAACAAATAAGGAGAAGGATGTGATTATAGTTTAACACCGGGTATAATATACTATTAGATTGGAGTAGAATGAATATAAAACCTTATACCACATAAATTTTATATTCGAAACAAACATGCCCTTAAAGTTTAAATTTTTTATATTGTACCTTTAATGTATTAAAATTATTATAATATGATCATTTTAATAATTTTTTATTAATTTTTTTCATCAGTATCAATAGGTTGACTTTTAACGGAAAAAATAACGACATTTAAGAAAATGATCACATTACAATACTTTTTGATACATTGACAGTGCGGGGTAAAAAATTTTATATTTGAAAGTATAAAATGAGAAATTTAAAATCTTTCATGTGCTAATTAGTTTGGAAATCCGGAAAAAAAAGGTTAATAGGATATTATATTATTTTGATTTCCATTTTATCATTCTGGTAATTAGTCTTTTTTAAGGGCATTACGGGTATCTCAGGTGATTACATTTTAAGGGCATATTTTTTGAAGGGTAAAAAACATAGTTGGTCCATGAATTTTATCTTTAATTTTAATTTGATCTCTAAATTTTAATTGTCTTAATTTAGTCTCTCAAGTATCAATTTTGTTTCAATCAAGACTTTTCGTCCATATCCACCGTTAGATCAACATTGAAATTGATCAAATTGGGCTAGTCTCCAATTGATCTAATGATATAAATTGATGTAATGACTTTATTAAGATAAACTTGATAGTTGAAAGATTAAATTAAATTAATTAAAAATTTAGAGACCAAATTGAAACTAAAGGTGAAGTTTAGGGTCCAACTATGATTTTTACCTTGTGAAGCTGCTTCAGGCTCGGATTTCAATTCATGTGCCAAAGCTTCTATGAAATTAAAAAGGAAATGAGCTGCACTGATAAGCATGGTTGTTTGTTTGTCAATGGACGCATAAAATTATGTGGGCGAAATCATTAATAGTGGTTGAATTAATGATGGGACTAATTAATTTGATAATCGTAAATCATTTGATGTACATAACATTGCTCGTTAATAGACATACAAACACGAGGACTCATTTAATAGACGTATTATGAGAAGATTAAATATTACTCTCTCCGTTCTTAAATATCTGTCGTTTAAGATTTTTGCACAGATTAAAGAAACTATTAAATAGCTGTAATATGAGTAAAAAATAATTATACAAAACCAAAATACTCTTATTCAATATGTATTGGGAAGGAAAAGAATATGAAAGACACTTAACTTCCACCTAATCTAATGTATTGAAAAGTTAAAGGTAAATTTGGAAGAAAAAATATTAATTATACTTTGGTTTCATAAAATGACAGATATTATGGAACACAAAAAATTATATAAAATGACAAATATTTAGGAACGAATAAAGTAAATTGTAATACTTTGTTTAGTAAACAAATTTGATACCGTATTAATTTTAAAAACATATATTAATCGTATACTTATCGTATATTTTTTGTATGATAGATTTGTATTATGAAAATCTTTTAATACCAAGAGAGGTGGTATTATAATTCAACTCAAACGTATTATTCTACACATTTACTATTATAACCCCCAAAGTGATAAAATTAAGTTGTCATCAATGTAACAAACACTGATTAAATGTATTTTTATTAATTCAACATTAATACGATAAAATAATTCTCTAACTAAATAATCGATTGAATTAAATAATTATTATCCAACGTTTATACTGTGTATTATCAAACACTAGATAAAATTAAATATTATTTTAATACCATATTTAATCGTGTCTTTTATCCCTCTGTATTGTATTAAAGTGTATTACCTTATCCAATTCATTCTTTTTTAATACGGCAATCAAACGAACCTGAATAGTATTAAAGTACCACTGAGCAATGTTATAGGGACCTATTTAAAGGAAAAATATTTCATTACAACGGTGATACCACATAATAATATTGATATAGTATTACCAATTAATAATATAAAGACAAATAAATAAATGAATCCCACAAAAATTAATAACCAATCCTCCATATAAGCAAATAACTATTAATTTTTCCTCTATGTAAGCCAATAACACCCAAGTGAGGGTCACCATAAAAATGTGAAAAGGTACACCATAAATTTTGTTTTATTATGGAAAAATTGTGAAAATGTACACCATAAATTACTTATTTGTGTGAAAATACCTTAGTATAAATTTTTTGTATAAATATTTTGTGAACAGATACACTTTGGCTCTATGTAAATATTTTATTTACGTAAAAGCTCTTTTCCTTTATTTGTGGAAAATAAGTTAAGCAGTTAATTGTGAGATTCAATTTCCTATTTTATTGAGACAATTTTCTTATTTTTTTGATTCTATTCTAATGGCTAAGTGATTTTTTTGTTTGGTTTTTTTGAAAAGATGCTTTTAGTTTTAAAAAGACTCCCTATTTTTTTCTCTCTCTATTATGCAATTTTACATTTAAGTCACATTGTGTGATATTTACCTTGTGCAAAACACTGCATATGATGTTTGTTTTATAGTGTGACATTAGAATTACATTTTTTATGCCCACACCATAAAAAACACAATGCATATGATGTGTAGTTGCATTGTGACATTAGATTCACACTGATACTCACCATGTGTTTTTAAATCTTTATGTGAGTCATAGTGTGATACAATCCATATGCAAACTCTGTATATGATGTATATATGTAGTGTAACATTAATGTCACATTTGTGATGCCCACGGTGTGACCCAGAAGCAATGTGACATTGGCGTCACAGTATATGTCACAATTTTTTTTATCACAAAAATATATAAATAGAGAGAAAAAAATAGTCCTTAACTTAGAAAATATTTAAAATTAAAGAATTTTGATTTTGCGTTAGTTTTATTTGGTCACAATTATATATATATATATATATATATATATATATATAGATATAGATATATATATATATTCTAATATAAGAAATCCTAAAATTTTAGAATTTTAGAAAGAATTGGAAAAATTTTCAAATTAATAAATTTAAAATTTATTTAAGTTTTGAATTTAACTATGTATGTGTGTGTGTATATATATATATATGAGATATAAAGAGAGAGAAAGAAAAAAAGTTATAATAAAAGAAAACTCTAAAATTAAGAGTTTTAGTTTTCAAATTAATTAGTTTCCTTATCTAATTTTTCCAATAGTGATGTGATGATGGTTAGGTGTACTTTAGTCCTTCTGCTCCAAAGTGTACTATTTGTCAAATATTTTTAAAATTTATATTTAAAGTCAAATAAGTTATAGAAAGTGTATTAGTTTCCAAAAAATTAATTATGAATTTAATATCAGGTGGATGTCACTTTCAATTCAATAATTACATTGAATTAGTTCCCATTATTTTTTTTTTTTTTGGCCACTTTCAATTCAATAATTACATTGAATTAGTTCCCATTTTTTTTTTATTTTTTTTTTTGGCCATAAAGAAGTACAGGAAAATGAGTGCATGAAATAAATAAAACTAAGGACTAATAGTATCTAGCTAAGGCTATTTCTATATCCATGGACTCATTAGGTTCCAATAGCATTCCCCCAACGATAGAGAAGAAATGATATGCCTGTGGTTATAGAGAAACAGGTTCCAACAATCACGGAGGAATGCGCTCCAACAGTCTAGAGGAGATTCACTCTAACAGCCTACCAATCACCCAAGGAAAAGATCCCGGATGACAAGGAAAGACACGACCATCAGCTTATAAATATTCAAAGCCTTCACCAGAAAAGGCAATCTGTAACACAGTTATTCTTAACAAGCAATAAGATAACTCCCCCTCCCCGAGCAAGAGACTTCACTCGAGTGAATTAGCCAACACAGGCGAACCACTATAAATCGTGCATACCTTTTGTTCATTGACTAGCTTTTTACATGATAATTTACCAAGATCTTATGTCTCAGTTTGAATAACATATGCATACATTTAGATTATGTTTCACTTTTAGTTTATACATCATCAATGTACAACACAGGTGTTATCGAATTTGATTGTTAATAGATCCAAGCTACTCGAGTTTGACTCTAGCTTAGTTCATTATAGGTTCTAACAAATTGTCAATTAACTTGAATTTCTTATGATTTTTAAGCTCTTTTTTTGAAAAAAGTTGAATTAACTAACCTTAGTTCAGATTGATTAGACTCCTCACTTGTCACCAAATAGTTTCAGACTATACACACCTCTCTATACGTTCTCTTAAGTAAATTTTTGGTTATTTAAAATTCTAGGTTTGATTTTATAGGTTATTATATAGATTTGGAGAGATTCTTCATGAGAATTGATATTCTAGGATTGAATAATTTTGAAAAAATTTTGTATGAAATT